ACTATTTCTGCAATCTGTCTAGCAACCCGACCACGGACTCTGTGACTATCTCTGTAATCTGTCTAGAAGCCCGGCCATGGACTCTGTGACTATCTCTGCAATCTGTCTAGCAGCCCGGCCATGGACTCTGTGACTATCTCTGTAATCTGTCTAGAAGCCCGGCCATGGACTCTGTGACTATCTCTGCAATCTGTCTAGCAGCCCGGCCATGGACTCTGTGACTATCTCTGTAATCTGTCTAGAAGCCCGGCCATGGACTCTGTGACTATCTCTGCAATCTGTCTAGCAGCCCGGCCATGGACTCTGTGACTATCTCTGTAATCTGTCTAGAAGCCCGGCCATGGACTCTGTGACTATCTCTGCAATCTGTCTAGCAGCCCGGCCATGGACTCTGTGACTATCTCTGTAATCTGTCTAGAAGCCCGGCCATGGACTCTGTGACTATCTCTGCAATCTGTCTAGCAGCCCGGCCATGGACTCTGTGACTATCTCTGCAATCTGTCTAGCAGCCCGGCCACGGACTCTGTGACTATCTCTGTAATCTGTCTAGAAGGCCGGCCACGGACTCTGTGACTATCTCTTTAATCTGTCTAGCAGCCCGGCCACGGACTCTGTGACTATCTCTGTAATCTGTCTAGAAGTCAGACAATAATCAGAGGAGTCACATAGAACTGACTTCTCGCAGTAGGCAAAATTCATGTTGAATTCTTTCTTTAGTGAGCAACCCTGTTTGGAACATCACTCCCATCATCTTCCATTGGGAGTTGTAGTCCAATGAAAGCAGACTCCCAGCATGAAACACGGGTCACTTCCCAGGTCTGATAAAACTGACATCACAGAATTCTGAGCCTTCATTGGTTATTAATTTAATTAAACTATCCTCCAGGAATATAATACTGCGTTTATTACCACTATCTTGGCTCCGTACAGTGTTGTACATTTGAATTGACCGACAGAGTAACCGTGAAAACTGAACTTGATAGTGAGAAGCATGGGTCCCTGGTGTCAGTGTAATTTGCAGTGTGTATGAGAGTATCACAGAGCTCCACAGCAATAAAACTCACAGTAATGTGCAGTGTGTATGGGGGTATCACAGAGCTTCACAGCAATAAAACTCCCAGTAATGTGCAGTGTGTATGTATCATAGAGCTCCACAGCAATAAAACTCACAGTAATGTGCAGTGTGTATGAGAGTATCACAGAGCTCCACAGCAATAAAACTCCCAGTAATGTGCAGTGTGTATGAGTGTATCACAGAGCTTCACAGCAATAAAACTCACAGTAATGTGCAGTGTGTATGAGTGTATCACAGAGCTTCACAGCAATAAAACTCCCAGTAATGTGCAGTGTGTATGAGTGTATCACAGAGCTCCACAGCAATAAAACTCACAGTAATGTGCAGTGTGTATGGGGGTATCACAGAGCTTCACAGCAATAAAACTCCCAGTAATGTGCAGTGTGTATGTATCATAGAGCTCCACAGCAATAAAACTCACAGTAATGTGCAGTGTGTATGAGTGTATCACAGAGCTTCACAGCAATAAAACTCACAGTAATGTGCAGTGTGTATGGGTGTATCACAGAGCTCCACAATAATAAAACTCCCAGTAATGTGCAGTGTGTATGGGTGTATCACAGAGCTCCACAGTAATAAATCTCATGGTAATGTGCAGTGTGTATGAGTGTATCACAGAGCTCCACAGCAATAAAACTCACAGTAATGTGCAGTGTGTATGGTTATATCACAGAGCTCCACAGTAATAAAACTCACAGTAATGTGCAGTGTGTATGGTTATATCACAGAGCTCCACAGCAATAAAACTCACATTAATGGACAGTGTGTATGAGAGTATCACAGAGCTCCACAGCAATAAAACTTTTAATTGCGTGTCAATAAAGATGTTTAGAAAGTAGTTTGTAAAAGAAAATTGTAACTAGTCTGCACGAAATGCTGACAGATATAGTGAATGTGTAAGACTGACGTAGATTGTGTTTGTTGAATTCCTGCGATATCATACCTCGCTCACAGTGTGAGATACAGGATATAACGTGCATGTTTGCACAATTATCTCGCCATTAGCCAGGTCTTTGTGGCTCCTCTTTCTCAAAACCAGTTTCTAATTCGAAATAAAAGATTTTCTTGATTCAGTAGCTGACTACATCGCCTGTGTGTACAGGCTCCTTGTTTTTGGAAGTAAACTCTACTTACTGTATGTGACCCCCCCACCCGCCCCAAATATCATATTAAATTATCTGTGCATGTTTATTACACATGTTTATGAGCATATTATTTTTTTAATTAGCATTTTGTTATCATTATATACATCCTGAAATTAAATATACTTATAATAAACCAACATTAAAAATAAAAAATAAAAAAGAGATTTTATTGCAGATATTATTTATAGTATAGACAGCCCGCTGCGTTTTATTGACAGACTGCGCTCTTTGATGTATCTAGCGATGGTAACGCAGTCATATCACGTGCTCCCATTGCTGTCTGATTCAAGGATTTGGCTCTATGTATCGCTGTCAATAGAGGATCCCTGCGCACTCTCACAGATACAATGCATATTTAAATATCAAGTTTTTACAATCACTACGAGACAGCTGGCATGTTTAGGCGTTGTTTATATGTTTGTTCTGCTGAGTAATATTGATGTACTGCTGCCTAAGAGTAGTCGGAGTCTGAGCACAGAGATTGCTTGTTATGTTACGGTGCTGTCACCAACCCGATGTGTCCTATTAAGGGTTAATAAATGTGTAGGGCAGGGGTCAGACACCTATGGCACTCAAGGCTGCCAAAGGCCGTGCCAAACGCAGTCCTCACAAACACAACACCACTGACAATCCACATACAGACACGCAACCCCACAAACAGTCTTTCAAAGGCAAAACCACAAGAAGCCCCCATACACACCCCACATTCATAGGTATCATGCATGACACCACAAACAACTCAAATAAATTAACAGCCCACATAGACACAAATACAATGTAACAGCCCACATTCACACAAAAACAATGTAACAGCCCGCATACACACACATACAAAATAACAGCCCACATAGACACAAATACAATGTAACAGCCCACATACACACAAACACAATGTAACAGCCCGCATACAGACAAATACAATGTAACAGCCCACATACACACACATACAATGTAACAGCCCACATACACACAAATACAGTGTAACAGCCCGCATACACACACATACAATGTAACAGCCCGCATACACACACATACAATGTAACAGCCCGCATACACACACATACAATGTAACAGCCCACATACACACACATACAATGTAACAGCCCACATACACACAAATACAATGTAACAGCCCGCATACACACACATACAATGTAACAGCCCACATACACACATACAATGTAACAGCCCGCATACACACACATACAATGTAACAGCCCAGATACACACAAATACAATGTAACAGCCTGCATACACACAAATACAATGTAACAGCCCGCATACACACACATACAATGTAACAGCCCACATACACACACAAATACAATGTAACAGCCTGCATACACACATACAATGTAACAGCCCACATACAGACACATACAATGTAACAGCCCGCATACACACACATACAGTGTAACAGCCCGCATACACACACATACAATGTAACAGCCCAGATACACACACAAATACAATGTAACAGCCTGCATACACACATACAATGTAACAGCCCAGATACACACAAATACAATGTAACAGCCCGCATACACACAAATACAATGTAACAGCCCGCATACACACACATACAATGTAACAGCCTGCATACACACACATACAATATAACAGCCCGCATACACACACATACAATGTAACAGCCCGCATACACACACATACAATATAACAGCCCGCATACACACATACAATGTAACAGCCCACATACACACACATACAATGCAACAGCCCGCATACACACACATACAATATAACAGCCCAGATACACACACATACAATGTAACAGCCCGTATACACATACATACAATATAACAGCCCACATACACACACATACAATGTAACAGCCCGCATACACATACATACAATGTAACAGCCCAGATACACACACATACAATGTAACAGCCCACATACACACACATACAATGTAACAGCCTGCATACACACACATACAATATAACAGCCCGCATACACACACATACAATGTAACAGCCCACATACACACACATACAATGTAACAGCCCACATACACACACATACAATATAACAGCCTGCATACACACACATACAATGTAACAGCCCGCATACACACACATACAATGTAACAGCCCAGATACACACACATACAATGTAACAGCCCACATACACACACATACAATGTAACAGCCCAGATACACACACATACAATATAACAGCCCGCATACACATACATACAATGTAACAGCCCACATACACACACATACAATGCAACAGCCCGCATACACACATACAATGTAACAGCCCAGATACACACACATGCAATGTAACAGCCCGCATACACACACATACAATGTAACAGCCCACATACACACAAATACAATGTAACAGCCCACATACACACACATACAATATAACAG